ATCATTGCCTATGATATAACGTCCTTACCTATGATATCATGTCCTTACCTATGATATAACGTCCTTGTCTATGATATAACGTCATTGCCTATGATATAACAACCTTGCCTATGATACAATATCATTGCCTATGATATCACGTGCTTGTATATATTATAAACTGATGAAACATCTTGCTTAAGAGTATCTTTTCACCATTTTTGTATAAGATGACGCATTAGTTTTTTAAATTGTTTAAGCAATATTTCCTTGTGCCATACTTTAAGGAGCTGTTCTGTAATCGCTTAACCGAACTTGGACCTACCTGGCCCCTATCTGTTATAATAAGACTCTTTATGGCATATAGGTAGAAGAAAATGTTTCCTAAAAACTGCATTTGTTCGTTGAAAGATTGCTGACATAATCGAGTATTGTAGCGTAATTTAAGAAGCTGTTCTGTAATCGCTTTACAGTACTTAAACCAACCTGGCCCCTTTCTGTTATACTATGACCCTATCAAGCATATAGGTAAAAGTAAATGTTTCCTAGAAACTGCATTTGTTCGTTGAAAGATTACTAAGCCATTTTCGAGTATTGATTCCTGTACTTAAGGAAAGTAATAGTGTACCTTACACAATATACATATGTCTGTTATTTTTTATTGAAGTATTTCCCGTTAAAAAATTACCCCGCTTCAGACTGTTTACTTTTTATTTGAACATAGCTGCCTCTCTGGTTTGAAAAATCTTAGATACGATCCTGATTTCCTTTCTATGTGACAAGACAGAACCGGGACGTTTCGCCGAGCTCTTTTTGTACTGACTAACCTCGAGATATGTCAGGATAGCTGCTTCTTTAAGATGCTATCAGGATTACGGGAATAAAAAAAACTTTATCAATTATTAAAACTTCAATGATTTTGATAGACAAATTACCATCTTCAAGCAGATGCCTAGCAACGTTCTCGTTACACTGCGGCAATAGCGCGCGCGCGGGAGCTCGCAAGCAGACGGTCATATCTTAGCACGTGACGAAATTAATGTATGTTCTAGCGGAGGGTTGATGGGATTTTGTTGTGGTGACCCTCTTAATAGCTGAGAGTGACTGGAGTGGTCCCGGAATAATCAATAGGTGATGGAAACGGGACTGGTGCTGCCGTGTTTTATAATCCAGGAATAGGGAGAGATTTAGCTCGTGTATACGTGAACAAGCACTAGTGCGTTGTCTTTTGTGTTGAACGATGCAAAAGTATCATTACATTCAATCGACATTTCTTTAGAACGTCGGCGGATGTATAAACACACGGTGAATTCTCGAAGATCGGTTTGGACACCGCCTGGTGTTGCTAGCTAGCCTTCAACATTTGTCTGTTAAAGCAACTGTTGTGTGAACGGGTTTGTTTATGTATCGACCGCGCTCACACATGTGCATATCTGTTCGCTACACATACAGTATTTATACTACCGATATTTGAAATGCTCTTCAGATCCCAGTGAAATTTCTGAGAGGTTCACGACTTATGAAGAATCTATTTTTTGTATTTTCAATTTTGGGACTAGCAGACGATATCAATTCAACATGGCTGACAAAAGACGGGATGTTATCGTCATTGGTGCAGGCTTGAGCGGTAAGGATTTTGAATGATGGAGATGAGGTGTTTGTAAGATAAAATGTTTTCGTTATCTCTGTCATGATTGCGGTTAAGCGACCATTCGTAAAGTTGCCCATTTCTACCTAGTTATGCTTTCTTTCTACAGTATTTTTGAAAAGATTTGCAAAATGTTGTTTTTGTTCCGAATAGCATGTATACAAAATCATTGTTCTTAAATATTATATATATCTTAACGATACACATTATAGTTGTTATTTCAGTAAGAGTTATTTCCCTTGATTTTCTTTAACATTTGCTGATTTTGTTATTAATGCACTAATCCTTCTGAACCGTTCATTACATCGTCATTCACTTCCAAGTTGTCCTCAAGAAATACTGTTTTATAGATTTATATTTCAGACAAGTTAAACATATAGCACGAATGTAACAAAATAAGCACAGGATTTTATTAAAGATACTGAAGTTACACTTATAGTTAAGACTTTAAGCGGAGTACGATTCCAATTTGATAATGCTTACAAATGTATCCTCATACTAATGTTTCTGTCAATTGTCATATAATATATCACATCAGGGAATTACATATTTGCCCGTGCATAGAGACACAGTTCGCGCAAAAAAGATGAACGATAAGAAGGGCAAACTATTCGTCCATGTCTTTAAATGAAAACGCACTTAACAATCTAAAATATGTCTTGTAGTATTTATTAGACTTGCTCAAGTCCGACTTATTATGTGAGCTGCCAACTGTAGGTAGACTTTTTATATGGAGCTAAGCATTCGAATTCCGAAAGGTGTTAACGTTGGGATTCAAAGTCTATGCTTTCGCAAACGTTTTAAAAAGCGTACATATATCCTGTACAATGGAAGGTTAATGAAATATTTCAAAAAGTAAGAAATAATGCGTCATCACACAAAACAAAGAGTTTAGGACAGGTATCAAAACTAAAATTCAATTCTCCTTAATCCACGCATTTGTAGATCGATCGATGACTTAAGGAACTAGATGATAGACAGGCAGTTACAAATACTGACGCCACAGAGGACGAACACGTGTGATACATGGATATTATTATATGAACACTAGACTTGCACATGTCCCACATACTGCCCGATAATTCCTTTTACTACACATCAAAATAGCACTTGGCCAGAAAAATTCAGTTCAAAAACACTTATCTGTTTTGATAAAAACTGTCTGATGTGTGTATTATGTTTGTCAATAGATGGAAAGCCGTTTTCCACCTATTTAATTACATGTACACAGCTGTGGCAGACCAGCTTCCTATTGTTGACAATAGCGCTAACGTTTCCCCTGAAAATAGTTGTCGCTTCCATTCTAAGTGAATGTATTAAGGTGATTGTGAGTTTGGCGTTTGTAATAACCAAGTTAACAGTCACTGCTGGTTGTTTATTGATCCATCGGCTTTAACCAAAGGCTTTCGGTGTATATCATTGATCAAGAGACATACTATAAAGGATAAGGACGATTTTGTAGTTTTGCGATAACGTGTGTGTGTATCCATGTTCAGTTAAAAGGGACTCGCTGATCGTAAGATGCGGCCAATTTGCGATCCCCTACATAATCGCAGGTTTCCTTCCCCGACTTTTGCTTAGGAGGGGTCTTAATGTGGGAGGAAACCGGAGTACCCGGAGAAAACCAACGTGTTCGGACAAGTGACCCGCATACCTCTACACGTCCGATTGGGGATCGAACCCCGGCCGCCTCGGTGAAAGGCAAGCGCGATATCCACTGCACCATCCGACCACTCAATAGAGATAACTGCGGCCAACAAGGTTTCACCATATATTGGGGTCTAAAGAGTCCCAAGAGAAAACCAGTTAGCAAAGAGTTGCATCGGCTGACAATAACTCTAACATAACTTAATCTTCAATAGATCTTTTGGTTGTGCCAGCAGGGAGGGGGTTTACACAACAGCACTGTTCACTTGCCAAAGGAAAATCCGGAAAGATGTGGCAGACATTTTATAATTATTCAAAGGATTTTCCAAAAATATTTTGCGATTCATCCCTTATCGCAGCTTATCTTCGTATTTATATCTATCGTTGCGGTATATACAGGACGGACGCGCCCATTTGAACTTAAAGAACTCGTTTATATGAATAATTCGGGATGCAAAAAGCCTTTTTGTCAACTAATCGTTATTCTAGCAAGTTTTATTTCGAATCTTTTATTTCCCTACAATGAAGTAATACGTGTAAATTAGTGTTCAAATTTAATGGGGAAAAAATGCCCAATGATGAAAGCAATGGTCTGTTTTTGGTAAACCTCAACTCTTGAACGTCGCCATTAGACCTTTTCTTTCCTGGATTGTACAGGACTTATGTGATCCATATTCATATGTACGTTCCATCACTATTCAACAACATGACATTGCATGCTCAAACATTTATTCCTGTCCGTTAGTATATCACTCCAACAAAATTTGTAGGAATTGTACCCGACTGACATTTGTTAAGGAAAAACAAAAGTCCGAGTTTTATTCTCCAAAATGTTGATTTAACGATTGTGTGGGAAGATTTGTTTAACTTTGGAGATTATTTGAAGTGACAATAACAGCGGGTTCCATGCAAGATATATCATAGGCAAATCTGCATCGACCGAGGAAATGCGTTAATAGTCTCTTAATGGTATTTCGATTAAAGCAAATTGTAAACATGAAATGGGAAAACTTCCGGTACAAGTGTTCGTCCAGATTAAGTAAACGTTTTGTACCATTCAGTAAAAAACGTTGCTCGTAGCTCTGAGGGGTGGGTGTTGAGGAAGAGTTTGTTTTCAGGTGTGGGGAAAAAAGACCCCATCCATACCTCCCTATATGTATTATCTGCAGATCCTGATCCATTGGTCTTGAATAGCAGGTTAACCCCGCCCATTTTGTCTGGAGTCTGTCCTGAAATGACCACACTACATTACAAAGTCCTGACATCGATTTGCACGCCCCGTAGACCCGTTAACATATTTTTTCCGCTCTCACAATCTCGTATAATGATGCATTCATTTTATACATTGCACACACTTCACTGAAATATCGAAACAGGAATACACACCTAATTGTTATTGATTTTATTTCCGTTCGCTCTATGCTATGTTAAGTATTATTCAAATACAGTCATTTTATTTTTAAAGCTGTTTCTATCAATATTTCTGACATAATTATTAACGTATGGTTTTCGGTAAGTTGGCTAGGCTTCCAGCATGTAGAACTGGTCTGTCTCGTTCAGTCTACAGAAAACACTGCATACTCAAAGCATTCTAGTTACTTCATCAATAGCTGTGAGGATAACGTCATAATATCCGATGTTGTCTTCAATTTCCTGGCCTCGAATGACGAGGTCTGACAGTATAAGAAATACTATTTCCCAGACTACCGTTCATATATACATATCTGTATTACAACTGATGCATAGAAAGACGTCATTTTATATAACGTAAAATATTTATTGGAAATAACTAAAACTACTAAATAATTAACGAATCTCAATGCAAAAGGAGTTTTTACTGTAATACACACTGTAACAAGGTCACAATATACCCCTGACATCACCAAAAATGCGATACGAAAGATGAGATCCATTCAATAAAGCTTAAATTAAAAATTAAATAGGTAGATATTGGCATACGCTATTGTCTTTTCCTTTGGTTTAAACATGTATTTTGCAATTCACTCTGTATTATTTGTTATATTGTACAATACCGTATTAACAATAAAATATAAACTCTACGTATCACTATAAACAATGTGGGTCAAATACATCTTAACTTAAAGTACGAGACGTGGCCAGCCAATTAGTAGCATGACACGCGACAGTTTAGAAGCGGGTCGTAAACATACGGTGTTCTTCCTGTGTATCATTTCAACAAGGTGAAAATATCGTAGGCACCATCTACTTCATGGTGACTACCTCATAGCAATCATAGGTCATGGCGACCACATTGGCTGACCAATTTGATTGGACATTTACACATAGCAATCCATGTAGTTTCTGCAAAAATCAAGTCTCTTGTAAACGCATTGTCATACTAACCTGATTTATCTACCTCTGTAAGCCCATTGTCAAATCAACTTGACTTCTGTCTACCGCCGAGGTTCATTTACCCCTTATTAGCCTAATGTCATAGAAACTTGTTTTATCCTAGCTATCGCTGTTATCCCATTGTCGTGTGTTTTCCTTTTTACCCATAGTAAGCCCATTGCCAGATTAACGTGACTTGTGTTTGCCATGATACCCCTAGATAACTCATTGCTAGATTAACGTTACTTGTATTTGCCATGGTACCCTTAGATATCCCGTTGCCGGAGTAACGTGACTTGTGTACCCCTAGATATCCCATTGTCGTGTGTTTTCCTTTTTACCCATAGTAAGCCCATTGTCCGATTAACGTGACTTGTGTTTGCCATGGTACCCTAGTTAACGTGACTTGTGTTTGCCATGGTACTTTTATCCTAGCTATCGCTGTTATCCCAGTGTCGTGTGTTTTCCTTTTTACCCATAATAAGCCCATTGCCAGATTAACATGACTTGTGTTTGCCATTATACCCCTAGATAAATCATTGCCAGATTAACGTGACTTTAACGTGACTTGTGTTTGCCATGGTACCCTAGTTAACGTGACTTGTGTTTGCCATGGTCCCCTTAGATACCCCGTTGCCGGAGTAACGTGACTTGTTCTTGCAATGGTCCCCATACATATCCCGTTGCCGGAGTAACGTGACTTGTTCTTGCAATGGTCCCCATACATATCCCGTTGCCGGAGTAACGTGCCCTGTTTTCCCTTGGTACCCCTAGATATTCCATTGTCGTGTGTTTTCCTTTTTACCCATACTACGCCCATTGCCAGATTAACGTGACTTTAACGTGACTTGTGTTTGCCATGGTCCCCTTAGATACCCCGTTGCCGGAGTAACGTGACTTGTGCTTGCGATGGCACCCCTAGATATCCCGTTGCTGGAGTAACGTGACTTGTGTTTCCCTTGGTATCCCTCAATTACCTG